TTATGAAGTCAAAGCATCCATGCACCATTATCAACCGAATATTAATTATCAACTTCGTTAGGGTTAGCTTCCTCAAGGATTACGAATCTCCGTGGGTTCTAACCGCGCACTAATATTCCCAACTAACTTCAGCGAATTCGCCACTGGATGGGCATAATATGAACACGGTACCTCCATTATTGGAGATCCTCGCGACAAACCCCAACGTCAGATCAGCTGACGTACGGAACCTCTAGGAAACTCATCGTCTGTCCTCTTCTCTCTTAGTGTCAGTGTCATAGCTCCGTCTCACTCGCTCCTTCACTAAACGCCTTTACGCATTTGGAACCTGTGCAGTTCGCTCTGACAGCTCCTGGGTTAGCCTAATCGTTCACGAAGACACTTGGCACGATCTGAAGTACGTCGATAGGTTCGATGTACTCCCTGTAATGAAATATATTTTGACAAAACGACTATAGCTCGAATAGAAAAAAAAGTCGGTCTCTGTTGGGAATATGTAGAATTTATATGACAGTCTCGAAATGGGAATCCACATTACTCACTCTGTATAATCCTTATGGGTTTCGTTCGAAAAGTTCGTTATACCTAACGCGAGTTGAAATGGTCATTCTTGCGTTAATGACCTCTTACGAACTTGCCATAACGTTCGTTATGCAATTTCATAGTTTTCTTACGTCGTTCGTCCTCCTTACGAGTTTCGAATTTTAATACGAATTACGGAGTTGACTATGTTTTTCTTTATGACAATTATTATTTTTTCCCATTTTTTTTTTTTCATCGCTTCAATTTTAATTCCAGTGGTTGGTAGGAAGATGACTATAAATTTTCTTTCTGTAAATAATGGATTACGCCAAAACGCCAATAATTCGATCGCAATGATTTACTCTTCAAAGTTCCTGGAAAATATTCACGCATGAAGTGTTACTGTACTGCGTGGGATTTCCGATAGCGCCACCAGCTCCCGAGGGATGAATTCGTTGCGAATCAACTTGAAAGCCTTTAACCCACATGTACAGCGACAAAGGATTTCCTATTTATCTGCAAAGGGCGAATAAGTAAAGGCTGTACAAAAGAAAATTTTCATTCGAAAGGGTCCAATGGATATTACCCAATTTTTGTATTTCCAACAGAAAAAAAAAAGAGGACAGTCGTATATGATCCGAAGAACAGAAAAAGAGAAACTTCATAACCCATATCCGAATTTTGCAATACAGATAAATTACCCATTAGGTATTTTTGATGCTGTAAACAAACAAATTTTTTTCATCCCCCGCCCTCAATATTTGTCAATCAAGGGTTAATTAAAGTGGAACAAGGTAAAAGTCAAACATTTTTCGTTTGCATTGGGGGTTGATTAGCTGGCGAAGGGAGAGAAGGGGGGGTAAGTCATTATAAGCAAAAGTCTAGTTACACAGCGAGGGTAAGTCTGATAATAATATACGAAGTAAGGGTGGTTTTTGTAATAACGCTTTACTCAAAAAGGGAAAAAAATTTTTTTGCATGAGCTCGACATTTGGAATATCAGAAAAGCTTTTGGGGTCTGCAAGAAAAGCTTATAGCTAAAAAAAATTATATCGTGTATACCAGCGCGGATTTGACGCACGTGGCCCTGCCCACGCGTTTTTCCCTCCGCACTGAATGGACAGGCCACAATGGCTTCGAACTATTCTTACAAACAGCCCCCATCCTTATCCACATGTTCCTTGATATCCTGCAGCCCCTTTTCATCCCTCTTGTCGTTTTAGCACCCTCGCTCCCCTTTACATCCACTCAATACCCCTTTAACCGACATTTATAAAAGGGCCGATCCCGCGGAAACGGATGCGTAGGAAAATACGCATCGCAACGACGCCGGGCGTCGGGGTGCGGGCGCCGCCATAGAAAGTTCGTGCGAATAAAAGGTCTTTAATCAAGTCCCGGTTCCGTATGAGCACCATAACACATCAAACCAAATCCTTCTTTTACATCATCCCTCGTCTCCTTCTATAAGCTTTTTTTTTCAAATCTTCCCTCAACACGTTTTTCTTTTTCTTCTATTTTTACCTCAACTCTTAAGAAAAGTTGTGTAGGAACTTCTCAATGATATTCACAGTGGTATATATTTTAATCGTATATCCTGGCTCGTAGCTTCAGTATCAATCTTTAGTAAATCAGGTAATCGGGTAATCGAAGGTTAGGCCGTCACGTGTCGGAATGTGTCAATCGTTATTCACAGCGATGCTGATTTACCGTTGTTATGGGAAAGCCTGACAAAAATAGAAAATAATTAATGCCGCCCTTACAGGAGCCAATCATCTGCATACTTACCCCCGTTACGCGAGTGAAGTTAATAAATAGGTAAATTGATCGCGTGTCTTCCCCTTCGAGGCATAAAAACAGTAGCGTACGTGCGCGCTCTGGCGAAAGTTTTCCTCCCACTTAATGTCTCGTTAGTTCCTTCCAAGTGAAATACGCGTGCCTTGCGTGCGCGTTTGGCGCATACTGAGGCGCAGCGGACAATAAAAACTACAAGAAGGCTTATCTTATTCCAGTGCTAGTAGCATACAAATTTATTCATAAAATTATCTCTTTGGGAACGAAATCCGTGTTTATTATACTTTATCGAGGATACTTGCTTTTCTTTCTTTCTTCGTCGACCTGACGTGCAAGCGTCGTCTGTGTTATGAATACGTCCGCTTTATGATTTCTGACAGCTTTACGTGGTGCACTCTATCTTCGTTATACAGGAATAATGCATTTATCGGATAAAATATTAGTAGGGAATTATTTTAAAGTCCTTTTTGGTATATATGACTAATTTTAAATATTCTAAAAAAAATCACTAGCCTCACGTACGGTTTAATTTGTTAATTTATGTCAAGGACGAATAAAGAGTTTGATTAAATAGTCTTCTATTTTTAATAACAGGTACGACTGATTGTCATATACAGTCACTTTACGCTTATATTAATTTTGACAATAACCGCCAATTGTTTAATGACTACAGCATTGACGTGTGAAATTCAAATAAAATAAATTTTCAATGGTATCTGCCTAATGAAGTGTAGCAAAACCGCATTCTATTTATTTGAACATACATTCTATTCAATCCACACGCGTTGATTAACATAAAGATTCGTTGGCACGTTTTTACTGGAAACAGATAATTTTTATGGTACTATAAATGTATACAGTAAATAATTAGTCATGCAATGTAAAGTAATAAGCCATATTGTTAAATACATAATGGGTCGACAAATGAAGTTAAATTTAATTGTAACATATTTTTTACGATTGATTAAAGATTTTTTAAGGAGTTACTAAAGATTCCATTTTTCACATTAACGTATGAAACGGTTTTAAAAAAATTTCTCGACACGACAAACTTTTCTATTGAGTCGCCTGGCCCTTTTTTAAAAGGGACAACAATGTCCACTCTCCATTCTCCCTATTGGTTTTTAGGCTGTTTCAAGTTTCGTGAACATTGCTCGCCGCAGATTGCGTAAAACTCTTCGGGCGTTTCCGATGCTGCTATCCATCCACCTTACAGTCCTGAGATATTGTGAGCCCAAATCGCTTTTTCATCAATCACCTTTTGACATGGACGACCGGCTACAGCCACTTCTGCCTCCTCTTAATGGCTACGAATTTTTTTTATCCGAACCATGAAGAATTTCCAAAGACCTCTTTCGTAAAACAACGAAAAAATTTTTAATGGAGCCTGTACAAATGAAATTTCATTATTAAAAGACAAACTTTGCTTACGGAGAGAAATATTTAATCGAGAGTCATATTTCAATTAGATTACTACTGTGTGCATTGCGTAAACAACTTACCATTTAACTGAAAGTTGTCTTGGTACTTACTTTTCACGTTCTGAAACTCCATTTCGAATTTGGCGAAAGAACCTTTTACCCTGTTATACAGAAAAATTGATGCATCATATTTCCAAGAGACTTTTATCCTCACAACGACACGCTGATTTTATACGCTACACAGTTTAGCCAACGTGATCAATCATAAACTCGAAATAGTGGCCGAAATGGTTGGCAAGACATAAATGAGTATCAATGCAGCAGGTGTTGCCAGCACGGCAAAATGTCTTGCGAAAATATACGATTTTTTCATTTCATCACGCTATCATGTAGCAATCATTTTGTAGGTAAGTCACGTTATACTGCACCAAATCTCAAAATGGAAGTTTGTACCTTCATCCATAAAAATGTATTTATTTATGACACACGACTGACTTGGGCACGTATAGAATATGTGGAACTACCTTTTTTTCTCATCTTTTTCGTTACTTGAGTTATACTGGAACACTTTAGAAATTAGCTCTTATCATACGTCAAATCAAGCAAGTTTTATGGATCGTAATAAAATTGAATGAACAATAAATGCAACGAAAGTATATTAAATGGTTTTAATCAAATTGTCACCGCGGGATTAGTGTAATATGTTACTTTATATTATGGCGACGACTATGACGTGTGATCGCTGTGATAGGTGCATAATTAATATAATTAAATGTGCTTTATAGACGTTTATCTTGTATCGATAAAGTAGGATTTTGAGTTACCAAAAATATATACAGGAGTGATTTTCTTCATAATCAAGTACCGGTCTCGCTTATTTTAATCCACTATAAAAGATAAATGAACGAGGAATCTTACAGAATTTGGTGTCGGGTGAGCCTGGAATCCTGTTCTTAAATTCACTCGACATCGTTGCATGGGACAATCGTTGTATGTCATGTAGATCATCCTGATGACATTGCGAATCCCGTACGCGAATATCATCGTATCACATTTTAGTCGTATAAATTCGATTGTAAAGAATAATTTTTTGGAAAATAGCAATCCGAGAGCGATGGACCTAATACCCGCCGTTTCAGAATGTGCACACAGCGCCCTCCGGAGAATCAATTCGATATTGCTCGACCTAAGAACGACAACGATGGTCACATGATTTCGAAAACAGGATCCCAGGATATCGTGACACGAAACCGGGTAACATGCCGACTCTATTTATCTTCAGTTAACGATGTTGCTTGTGTGCATTACTTAGTTCTTTTTAACACCAGTGGAATTTTGAAATTTGTTTCCTGTGGGTGTCCCATGTGATGCAACGAGAACACGTTGCTAGTTTGTTAGATGTTAGTAATCTGAATAACGGTATGTTTTTTAATTTCCGAGTTTTAATTTACGATATACTTTAATGCACAGGAATAAGTGACACTAATAAGGACGTGAGATTTGACAGTTGTCATGCGACTCTTTTCGTTAAATAATATTCGGTATTCATTCTTTCTATTTCATTCTTCCTCTGAACAACGGTGAGAATAAGTTTACTGGCACATCTCCTCATTGGAGGAGTCAGCCATAAGGAAAGGAAGGAAGGACAATAAGTTTATTGTAAAATGTATTGTTGGTGTAATCAATTGTTCCTTATTGTTAGTAACAATAAATAAATGTGTGCGTACTTTTATACATTTGGCATGAAATTATTACAGATAACGTTGTAGGTGTCCAGTCGCGGGTTAGATATTTAAGGGAAAATAATGACCTCAGAAGTCAGTGAAACAAAGCCGGGTGATGGCGATGAAAACAAAGTAATCGAAAATGATAATGGTAATTGATGAAAATTATCATTAAGTAATGAATTTCTTTTTTTAGCCCGTTAAAGCTACCGTTGTGTTATATGAAACGTATTTTTGCTGTTTAGAAACCCTTGAGGCTAGAAAGAAGAAACTTAAGGATGAGATTAACGAATTGAAGGACCTCATGTATCAAATGCAGTGTAATATGAAGATATCTCAGTTTAAAGAAATTCAGAAACTCAATGATCTTGATGATTCATTCAGTATTGGTAGTCCAATCATTCAGAACATGTTTAATGGAGAAATTGATTTACAAAATGATTTATACCGTTATATGGGATTGTATTGTACAAGGTTCAGTGAAAGTTACACATTCAAATTTATAACCACATCTATTTCCACAAAGAATGATGTGAACACTGTACATATAATAAACGAGAATGGTGTAGGAAAATTGGGAAAATCGATCATGCCATTCTCAATAGATATGAATGAAATTTTACAGGAAACTCCCATTGAAGATATGAGCAATATTCCATTGTTTCTAAGGAACTGCAAGCGAAAGCTTCATTATCATTACTTCAGGATGAAACAATACCAGGATTTTGAGGTACTCGTTCCATCATCTCGTAAGACATTTTAATTATTTGGAAACTTGGTATTGATCTTTTATTACTTGAAATTTTAGGCTTTTCTCAGTGGTTTAAAAAATTGTGAATTGAGTACTGATTTGGGATATACTCAAATTATTTTGAAGCTAATAGGAGTCTTGGAAATCGAATCAGGAAGAAATTATGATATTATATTATACTTCTATTATGAATCGGATGATGTTCGGCCACGCATAGTAAAAATTGATTCATTAACAGATGCACAATTATCGGATGAGAAAGTTACAAAATTTAAAAAGTTTTTTAAATATTTTAAACAGTTTCAATTAAAAGTAGCTTTTGAGACAGCTCTGAACACGACACATACAGTTTTTCTATGGACAATAGAATCAGTTGAGAATGATTTCATTGAAATAAGTGTAAGGAATCATTGTAGTTTCACCATTATACTGAACTTTATTCCTATTGTGTAATTTAATTTTTGTTATACAGGATAATGATTCAAATTTTGTAACACCCAAAAGAAAACGTCAAAACCAATCTAAAAAATCCAGAAAGAAACGTCAAAGAGTCAATGAAACGAATACATCAAATCTACATTCTAGTCAAGAATCCCAGCAGGAAGAATCTAATAGCGATACAGAGAATATATCACAAAAAAACTCTGCAAGAGATAATAAAAGCAACACTAAAAACATAAGAACGGTAAAATCAAAAAAAAATGGCACAATAAAAAGGATCCATCGACAGGATTTGATGGAATCAGAGAATGATAGCAAAGAATTGTTCTCGATTCAAGAAGAGAATCGTAAAACTAAGACAATTCCAAAAGGAGTCGAAAGCAATTCAAACATTTTAAAAAAGAAGTCCAAAGGTGCTGATCCCAAACAGAGGACCCTTAATTTTGGTAGTTTGCTAGAGAAAAGTGATAATAATAATGATAAGATTAAAAATATGACTGCTATGAGAAAATCGATAAAATGGGCCGACGAAATTTCAGGGAAAGGAAAAGAGATCGAATCGAAATCCATCACAAATAATATAAAGCAAGATGCTGCTATACTTACTAGCACACCTATTAGGAAAAAGAAATTTAAAAAAAATAAGTTAATTGTACCTGCCGGACAGGAACTAAGCGTCATCAACAAAGTATCCGATATATTTCCGGTATCGAATGAATCCGAATCAAGAAATGAACAAAATATTACAGCTGATCAAGTTACTAAAAATTCAAGAACCATGAAGGACTCCAATGATTCCAGTGACACCAATTCCGAAACAAGTCATGAAACGGACATGTATGATAAAGAATTGTTAAACGAATTACAATTAATAACGGGAAAAGACAGGACTGCCGTTACAAAAAAACAAAAAGCGAAATCGACACTTCCGGTTAAAAAAGAAAGAAAAAATATTGAAAAATAAAAAATAATATATGCTCATAAACTGTATACGAAGGGTGTTGATACATTTTACATGATCTTTTACAATGAAAATTGCGATATTTCTGAATAAAATCAAGGTTAAATGATATTGATAGCTACAATAAAAATGTTTTTATAATTTGTAATTATAGCTGTTTTTTAACCAATATTATGCAAACCTTATAAAGTATAAATTGTCCGAAAGAATGCCATTCTAGATAACAAAATTTTCCACAAACGTGATAATACATTTTTTCTCTCATCATCAATCATTTTCTCATTACGTTCCTTCATCAATGCCAAAAATACTTGTTCCATCATCGGCTGATTCAAAGAAAAATCCATTACTGTAGCATGACGTATTCTTATTTTCTCAATTTTCTCAAAAACGTTACTATACGGAATATCACTGGGCAATTCATACTTCAAAATTGCCTACAAAAAATTCATATAAATCAGCAATAAATAATATTTATAATCACATCTTACATTATTAAACTAACCAGATGTCTATCTTTGAATACGATTTTTGGAAATGCTTCCTCAATAGTTTTCATGACAGCGTCAAGCGTTTCTTGTTTGAATTCCGTGTGCAATCTGATTCGCAAAGTAAAGTTGCTTCCATGTTTCTGCTTGAGACTTTCACACGAATCCAAAGCAATAAACTGACCATCAACCAAAATACCAACGCGCAGACACAAAGCCTCAGCCTCTTCCATACTATATTGCGACATATATTTTAAAAGTTGCTACCATAACCTATTATTGGGAAATTTTGTGCATCAAATATATACTTGTGAGTGGTGACTAAAAGTGATCTTCCCATTTCGCGCATCTGATGCAAAGTGTCGCACAATGCGTGCCTAGTCATGATGTCTATGCCCGAAGAAGGTTCGTCCAACAGTATTATTGGCAAGTCGCCTATTAAACATTGAAGAATACATATTTTCCTTCGAACCCCCCAAGGACAAGATTCTATTTTCATATTTTCAAAATCCAAAAGATCTGAAATGTGCAATGTCATTGAAGAGTTTCATAGTTTAACAGCACAGTCGAATATGATTTACAATTTCCTACGTACCAAAAATGTCCAACCACTTGTTTACTTCCTCTGCAATATTTCGAAACGGTATACCACGAAGTGCTGCAAACATTTCCAAGTTTTGACGACCCGTTAGGAATAGGTTTAAGCCACCGATTTGAGGACAGTAACCGGTCATGCCTATAAACTACAAAAATTAAAAAATACAATAATAATATTATTTATTTATAAATTACTAAATATACGTTCAAGACGAATGTATTAATTCACTTTATCGTGATCTCGCGTTAATTCCCAATCGCGTATCACTGCTCTTCCAGTATTTATTCTTGATTGACCAGTCAGCATTTTGAAGATGGTCGACTTGCCAGAACTATTTGCCCCAAGTAATCCAAAACATTCCTGTTTTTTGATCTATTGAACCACACCAAATTATAAGAAAAAAAATGTCTACCGTATCATACAAATAAAGATAATGTATTTTCTTACAGTAAAATTAATGCCGCGAACAACGGTAACGTTTTCATATTTTTTTGACAGATTTTGAACTACTAATGCAATGTTGCCTGGTAGACAATTTTCCATTTCATATACTACAAATATACATATTTATTTATTTAGTCGTCTAAACTTCAAATTAAAAAGAGACATTTCTACCTTTCATAAGTTTATCAACTTTCTCCTTCTCTATAAGAATTTCCGGCTGCACCCGTTGATCAATTACTTGCGCGTCATTCGAAAACATTTTGTACCATTTCATTCTATTCTTGTCCTCGAAAATTTCGCGCAATAAGTTAAACAGAAAAGCTTGCGAGATCAATATCAAGATATCCTCGGCAATCGAGTGAAAGTAATTCACTCCAGATTGTTTAGTGAATATAACGCTCAGTGGTTGGTAACAACTCTGATTTTTACAGTTCTCTAAAATGCACTCATAACTTTTTTATTTTATCTTTTACAAGATTAACTTTTACAAGACTATTTACAGACCAACCAGTACTTACGGCAGCATGGATCCTCAAGACCCAAATCGGTTCCGCACGCGTTGTGAATTTTGCACTGCTTATTATACAAGCTCAGTGTAATATAATTACTGATAATACAAGATAATACATACGGCGGAAAAGCATGTAGAATTATTTCAAGAATAAGTTTGCCAGTACTACCAAGCAAGTGCACCAGTAATGGAAGAGTAACAGATGCATTTATCAACAACACTGTAAGGATATACAATTAATTTTAATTAAGAATCAAAATCGTTAATTATATATTAATTTCGTTATTACCAATCACAAGGTTCATCAAAATCAGAATCATATAAACGGTATTGGTACGACGAGAAAATACTTGTATCAAATATCCAATTGGAATGGCGGCAACGCCATAACACAAGAAGATCATGAAACCTTGAACTGATTAAAAAGAAGATGGTAAATTATCAACATTTAATTTCGCAAGTTTCTCTTTCATTCTATTTTCATACCAAATTCGATTCCAGTAATACGAATAGCACTGCTGTACGTCAAAAGGCCCATGAGTGACGTAACAAGAAGTGAAATGGCATACAGTACAATATCTACAATATAAATAGGCATCCAGTAGAGCAGCGTTGTCATTCCAACTGTATTCAGTTGGAGAACTTTCGATACAGATTTGACTTCTTTGGTCACCATGTCTATAGTCGGTATAATTAACAGCAAAGACACTGCTATAGCTACGTTTTCCCAATTTCGTATACTGCGCGGATGGACCAAACGATGCTGCCACTATTGACAATAAGAAATTTTACAATTGTGTACTATAATATTTTTAATTAAATTTTTTTTTAGTTACCAATCTTGGATCCACTATTGGTTGGCTGTTCAATTTGATTTTTACATTGGACGAACCTGTATAATAATGCAGCAATGCATTGTGCAATAGGTTTATTGCTATGGGTCCACTGTGCACTGCCGTCGACGAGTACATTAAGTCTACACGTGCTTTTTTCATAATATCAACAGCTATGAAATATCGATCTCTGAACTGAATTAATTATTTGTTATCTTTGATTGTTATATATATTTTTTATTTTTTTTTGTTACCTCTATCGAATGCAGATTCGGATGTATCATTAAGTCTGAGGAGGTGATATTTTTTGAGATGTGAAAATTTCCCAATTTATTGTACGTCTGGCCAGTTGTATATAACGAATGTAGAAATGTTTTGGTATTACCAGTATTGGCTGCATAATACAACATTCGATAATTGTTCGCCGTGTATTTTGTGACATTCATGTGCATCTCTCTGTAATATATCATATACTTGAGCGAATAAAAATTTTGATTTTTTCCATCCAGTCGTGGCGCAGGGTCTGACAGACCCACAGGCGCACATTTCTTATGATAAAAAAGTCTTTACTACTGAATGGGTAATTGAATAATATTACTAGACATACGCTGTTCGGAATATGAATAAAGTACCCAATTCGCTGATCATCATAGTTAGAGCACAGGCTATAAAGGACAAGAATATCTAAAAAAAAAAATAAAAATAACATAGATACAATAAAACAGTGAATAGGAGTCAATATAAAGAATAGTCTCACGGAGAACACGTAAAGCTTCCACGAAGAAAGAAGATGTAAGAATTTTTTGTAAAACATAGTCAAGACCTGTTGACGCCATAAAATTCGACCGTTAAGACGCTCCCAAGTTTTCTCTAAAAAATCCAAGAAAAAACAAACAAGTTTATAATGTTCAAAATGACCCTATATAATCGTGTCAAGAATACCTGAATAAATTACCCGAGTGTAACAGATCTCTTCTTCTCTTTTGCGTAATTCCTTCGTATTTGTCAAACGGCAAGTACACGCGACGTTCTCTGTACTGACTCGCCAGACCAATTCTATGCAGAAAAAGAGGCAAAATAGTGGCACCTTATTTCACAAGCAAAAATCTTACCGACCGAGTTCATTTGGTATCCGATTAACCAATAAATTTTCAAACCTCAGAAATTGACCTTCGATGCTGGCTGCATTAACGGCCAGGGAATTAATTTGCAATTCCTCCTTGTTGTGCTCGAGGAATTGTAACAATTTCGTCATTCTCGTTCCACGCGCTAGATCAAATCTCACAACCAGACCCATAGTGCTCCTGAGTTTTACCGGTTGAGACGAATATTGCTGTATTTCTATGTGCAGGTTATCCAAGTCGCAATCTTCCTGAATTACTATACTAAGCACGAATCCAATCCCTTGACAAAAACATAACAGGTTAATAACGCAAGTGATAAATAATCAAAACTTTAGCCGAGACACGAACCATAGCGTCGATTAAGGTACATTTTCGTCCCGTAACACTCAATCCTGCCGTTAGCTATTATGGCAATTCTATCCGCCAGAATATCTGCAGCCTCCATGGAATTCGTAGCCATAATGATAGTCTTATTCTTCTTTATCGACTGCGTGTACAAATTAAAGTAGATAAAAATATTAGTTTCTATTTTCACCATTATTCATTTAACCTAACCGACAGTATGTCCCAGACTTGTCTTCTGTACTCTGGATCAATTCCATAGGTAGGTTCATCCAGAATCAGTATCTGTATGAAGATTTGAATTAAGGTTAGTAATTATTTAACAACAAATTTTTTTAATTTCCACCTTTGCTCCACCAATCAAAGCCATTGCCAGACACACGCGTCTCTGTATACCAAACGAGAAGTTCTTGGTCTTAGAATCTTTGACAGCTGTCAAACCAAGCTGGTCCAAAAGATCTAGTGCTGCTACATTGGCATTCTTGTACGACATGCCTTTCATCTACAAAAACCAGAATGAAAGTCAAAGTGCATATGTTACGTAATAAATCGAGGTACCCGCCTGTCACTTGCAAAATCAAGAGTTTCTGGAGAATGCAAAAGATGGCGAACCAAGACTCCTAAACTACTTTCTACTTTCGATAATAAACTCAACTAGGCTCCCGTCTTGTTTCTCTTGCAGTCATGATCTACTGCTTTTGCACTCATTTCTTTTCCCTCAAATTCTTTTTACGTAAAACGAACAGCACTGTAGTTACCATTCCGAACATGTAGAGGTGTTGCACAATTGTCAGATAATTAACCAAGATATTCTCTTGAGGACAGTAACCAATTAAGTGTCCATCTGATTCCTCGTCCAAGTTGTAATCTCTGCCTTCTATGTAAACCTGTCCACGATTTGGTTTGTACGTGCCTAATTTTTGAAAAAAAATTGTTACCTATAAAAAAACCAAAAATCACAATTTTCATTCACCTATTATCATCTTCAAAAGACTGCTCTTTCCAGCTCCATTGTGTCCCAGTAGAACGTTGAATTCGCCGTGATAAAAATCTATCGACATCTCGTTGACAGCTACAATTTTTTCGCTCAGCCGGCCAAATTTCTTCGTCACTTTCTTCACTCTGATCGATGGCTACTATCAATTTTTCCATTGTGATTTTTTTCCCTCGATCTTATAATTTTTATTTAGCTTATAGCTCACTATGATTTTCGATGACGTCTGCTCGACGGCTGACCAGTTGGTAGTACCTCTCAGTGTTGTATCGAAATCCTGAAGAACTTTTTTACCTTTCTGAAACAATTCATTCGTATCGAGTCCAAATTTCAATTATAAATCTACCTAGCTGATTACGTAATTTGAAAAATACTTTGCATGGGTAATAACAGGGTTTGGCACTGCCGAATCTTCCTGGGTTTATATTATCCATGTAAACAGTCAGGAGACTCCAGATGATAATATGGACTGCCCAGGATGTCAAAATGATACCAATTGAAATTTTATCCTTGGCACTAATTATATTGTAGACGTCATGGTATTCGAAATTTTTTCTCGTCTTCGCTTCCATTTGCAGTCTAGCCAATTTTCTGCTCGACAGCTCGCCTATATACTCGGTTCACGGTCAATGTAAATTCTTTTTTTCTTATAAAATATTGGTATAACGTAATTGCTAAGCGAGTTACTAATTATATCGTTGCTGACTAATACTTGCCAATTTGTCCGCTTGACGTAAACGTTATTATACCGTAAAGTAGCCCGCTGTGAGGTAACGCTAAGGATAAGATTTTGGCGTAGATCGACGAATTTGCCAAAAATTGATCCAGCACGATAGTCAGATGTGCCAATAATAACCAGAGGAGCAGACTCGTTATCAGTGCCTTTATCGCTGAAATTATTAATATTGCTAATTGACAGTTACGATGATCAGGTAAGTGCATGATGAAAAAAAATATATTATACCTTGATTGAAAAACGTGCCTATCATGAACATAAAGCAGCTGGTCATTGTGATATACGTCAGTATGAAAATAGCAATAGTTGCTGGATTGCTGTTGGAATAAACAGGATACAGAAGTGCCGTTGTGACGATGGTTACTGGAATCGCTACGATCATCAGGTAATAGATCCATCCGATATATAAAACCGTGATAGATATATTCATCATGCGCATTAGCTCCTGATAAACATATCGTGACTGTTGTTTCGTTTTGTAAGGTCGAATTTACGAATTATGACGTCAGAACTCACTCGAAAACCTGTTTTCTTGTCATGAATGATTTTCTGCAAAGTGGCAATTGGCAGGAGCAAAAAAGCTACGACCGTCATGTAATAGATTACACTGACATTGGGTCTGGTGACGGATGGCATTATTAAAAAATTTATTTTGTAAAAGGGAAAACGACCCAGGATCAACTGCCAAAGATCTATTATTGAGAATTGAATTTCAAAAATCTATTTACTTATTCTTACTTGCTTCGCAACAATTGGCTTCTCTTGATCGCGCCACATGTCAACGAAGGAACTCTCGATCGCCATTTGCAAGGCCATGAAACCGCTGATTATATATGGATCTGTGATAAATGATCTATCGTGTAAGCGATCTATTCAGTTAAGGCTAGGTTCGTTTACACTATTTACCATCATCCGATGGTTCCTCGTCGTTAAACATTATCATGCGATTGCGACCGATTTCTGAGGAGCGGATCTTGTAATCAAGTAATTTTGGTTTTTCTGTGGTTTCGTTATCAATCTTGAAAATCACCCAAAATACATTGCCTGTGTAATTTTTCGAACGATGCGACAGGATCAATTCTCTCTCGCTTGTGGCTGCTGATACTGAAATATTGATTGGCATTTTTTGTAGATTTAAAAAAAAAAATTTTATGCTTACTTTTTATATTTAGCAGATCGGAAACTTTTGATATTAGATCATTCGCGAATTTATGCTTTGGAGTGTACCAGCATTGCGTCACTTTTGGAAAACGATTGAAAATGTCTTCTCTGGAAAATCTTTCTACATTCTGATGGTGATGAAATAATAAAATTTTGTATTAATATTTTCATACGTCGAGTAACATTTTTATTATTTTTTCTCCAATTAATTAGTCGTAATTAATAATTAGTCGTAAGTAATAAGACTATATTAACGACGTGCCTGTAAATTGAGTGCCAGTGGTTCGAAGATCAATCGAATCTGTATGGAGAAGACTATCGGTATGAGCAATTCAAAAATCATGATCACAGCAGCGTGTCTTCTCATCAATATGGCTTTCCAAAAAAGTACCCGGGAGCGATTCCGAAATTTCTTTAGCTTGACTTTTGACATATTCAAAATTCCCAATCAATTTGATGATTGTGAGAAATAAAAAACTGTCGCGTAACAGACTTCAGCTGTCAAATTGACAATTTCCAGTTACTCTGCAGATCTATCGTCGAGTGACAGAATTGAGAAAAAAAAAATACGTCAAACAAGCATGGCTGCATTAAGATCAGTCGCAAGAATCCAACCACGTTATCTCGTTTCTAAGTAATTTGATATTCAAAATCATTTAAAAAATTCCTAAAATCTGGAAACATTAATTTTTCTAATTTTTACAGAATCCTTAACCCACTCTTTGACGTCTCTCGGCTGTCTTACGAGTTATTTGTACTATCAACAAGGATAAGTCTGGAAATCATTATAGCCACGTACAGACTTCTGATACCAGTATCGATGAAGAATCTATGTGGTGAAACAGTTCTTGTAAGAAAAAAAAACATAAAATTTCACTCAAACACAATAAAATCTCGTTAAGTGAACGCGTTGGGATAAGTAAGATAAGCCAGTTAAATGCTTCCTTATCACTATTCACCGTCGTTACCTGTTTCCAAAGACACAGTCCTTCCGCGCTTATATAATAATATACTCGGTAGATGATAACAGGGAAAATCCTGATGCCTCGAATCAAAAGAGGCACGAGTGATCGGAGGTCAAACGTTCACTTAACGTGCATTCACTTAACGGGAGTCTACTGTACTGATAACCATTGTGTATCGTAATTACAGTTGTTGTCCTGATACAGGAAATTCACAAGATTTCTTGATCAAGCATAATTTTATTTTATGCCCAACGAACCATAATATACCAACAGTACTTCCAATGCGATATTATTTAATTGTTTGTTGTAATCAATAATCAATTAGAATATATCTCGCGTTGGATTATCGTTATTTTAAATAAAAAATTGAACTTTTGTTCCAGGTAACAGGGGCTGGTCACGGAATTGGCAAGGAATTGGCAGTGCAACTTGCTGGCATGGGTTGTATTGTCGTATGTTGGGATAATGACAGGGATGCCAATCGGTCGACAATGAATGAAATATTAGAAGCTGGGGGTGAAGTAATTGGCAATCGCTGATATTTCAGTACCTTAACTTATTATTATTTGTGCATCGTTCAAGGTATACGGATACGTAGTTGACGTTGCCAAAAGGATGGAAATTCGCGAAGCTGTCAGGTTGATGAGAAAAGTGGGCATTCCCGAAGTGACTATTCTAGTCAACAATGCAGCCATATTGATGCACAAATCATTATTATCCCACGAAGATAACGAGATAGAAGATACATTCGCTGTGAATGTTTTTTCGAATTTTTGGGTATATCGGATACGATTTTGAAAAAAAAATCAAATTGAATTTTACAAATTTATTTTTACAGACGATAGAAGCATTTTTACCTGCTATGCTTCAGAACGACAAAGGCCACATAGTCTGCATGAGTAGCATGTGTGGCATATATGGGATTCCACAAAAAGTCCCTTACTGTTCCTCGAAATTTGCTATTCGCGGTGAGATAAAATAGTGATAACTATGATCAAAGAATTTTGAGAAAAATTTTTTTTACAGGCTTCATGGAAGCTCTCCGCGAGGAAGTTCGACTTTTCCAAAGAAAACTAGGCGTACGTTTCACTACGATTTATCCGTTTTACGTTAATACAGGTTTAGCCAGGGATCCAAAGTACAGGTGAAATTTACATATGTGAAAATACCGAGAATATAAACTTGTTACTAATATACTGTTATTTTTTAGATTTCCTTACATATTTCGTGCAGTCTCACCAGCTTATGCAGCTCAGGAAGTCATTAAGGCTGTGCGTAGAGACTATACGGAGTATTCCATACCTAGATGCCTCTTTTCGTTAAATTCGATAAACAGGTATAACGAATTTCAAGATAATTCAATTATTTATTAAAATTCGTACTGAATATTTTTTAAGGATCCTTCCCGAATCAGCAATGAGATTGATTTTGGATTACTTGGCAGATATTAGTAACAAGGAACAACAATCAGAAGAGAGCTCTTAAAAAATTCTAATATAATTTAACGATCGCTTATGAATTATAACGATGTAGATATTCGAGTAATTATATACGAATAATTATAGTCAGTGACAAATGCCCCAATAATGTCATAATAAAAGTAATTAAAAATTAAAAATTTTCCATAGGGATCCGATTACCATAGTCATTGAATATGCAAAAACCCATTTTTAAGCCACCATCTATTGATGTCTCAATAAAACAATCATAATAGTATCTATCATAGAAAAAGGTGATAGTAACAATTTTGAAAATATAAAATTTTGTAATATCACATATTTTTATGTAAATCCTAAAAATTTACTCAGTACTTTTCATACTTCAAAATGTCCTCCGTCTTGAGTCAACTTTTCGAGGTTTTTTGAAATTTGGCTCATTAGAAGTTTCAATGATAATCAAAATCAATCTGAACCATCGACTTAGAGTCCAGTATACAATTTCGCTTTGACACTTGAGAATAATAAATTGCTGGACAAGTGATTTTGCAAATAAATTCTATATGTCAATAAGCACGTGGCGTAGGTATATTCGAGCATCGGTTGATACTAGCGGCTGAGTATACAAAGAGAACATGGAAGCTAAGGTGGAAAAGGTAGACGAGAAAGAGGATGATGACCTTGTCCTTGGATGACTATACCTAAGAGAACACGTAGGACTAGACTGGCGCTCAGTCAAGTTCAGTCGTTCCGTAGTCAGTATCTTGTAAGTGAGTGGGATCTTAAGACCAGTTGGTGCCACTCTTTGGACTCGTTGAACTCTTTGTACTCATTGGATTCTTTGGTCGGGAACTTTTGGATTTAACGTGGACAGTCTCCCGTAAGCGATCGGAGTATCCAGTGATTGACCTGTTCTCTTGGTCACCTGATCGATGCGTCTGTATCGAACCGGATTTCATTTGATCGGGTAGGTCCGGAATTAATAATTGTAAAATTAAAATCTCTCTCAATTGAAAAATAGAACGTGATTATTATAGAATTAATAGTTACTGGTGCAGTTTAGAGGAAAACCCGTTTTTTCCTTACCCCACAAATATTCATGTGCAACTTTGCGGTAAAAGCAAACTTGCCGATTGTGAATATTTTTGTCAGTAGAAGTGCCAATATTTGATTAACAAGATCCGAATAACTTGGTTAAAAGTTTTTTACTCAGAATCGACACCAAGGAGTAAAGTGTTACTGGGTGGCTAAGAAAATTTTTTTGGAATACTAATTCGACGAATTATTTTACTTGTTAAAATGAAAAATAAGAAATTTCGACACTGAAGAGAAAATATTGAATGTGTAGTTCCGCGATTAGTGTACTTTTTATTGGAATTATGTAAAAAAAAATGGGTATGTTTGATGATCGTGCGAAGAAAACAAATGGGATTTACTTTGTATGTATTTTACACGTAACACGTCTTACGTATATTGTTATACAGATCTGTAAGAAATACGTTGAAAAAAAAATGTTACGATTACTAAATCCTTTATCGAATCTATAACGTATTATGTATTCGGGTTGCCTGAAAAACTTCCATCTCGTAGTAAGCTTTACGTAAATGTCATGAGAGTTAGAAATTTTATTTATGAGCTCTCTACAGTTCGATCATATGAAATTATGCAAATTTGTTTTAATATATATATATATATAATCGCATTCTTACTTAACAACCCCAATCTAAGCCCAAAATAAATTGAAACGATTAATTGATGGAGATCCAAAAAGCGTGCACATCTCTCGTAACAAATAGCGCATATTAAGAACGAGCTCCGTTATAGAAGGTTAGGTTAGGTCCAGAATTTATCAACAGCATCTTCGAGAGTTTTTCATAAAAAATAAAATAATTAAAAAGTAAAAAATTCGCGCTGTTTTTGTTTTTTGCACTTTCACTATAAAATTTTGCTTAACGACATTCAGGCAGTTTCCACTAATCAAATCGACGATTATAAAGCTTCTTTCACAATGGGCGACTTCGAGCGGATTTTTGCATCATTTTACTGTTGATTAAAAACGACCTGATTTTATTGCTACACTTTGCCTGTTGCGCTCATTTCAATGAAGCCATCAAACGATATGACGCGTTTTCAACCATAGCTGCAGTGAATTCAATCTTGAAGCTCAATAAAATCTGTGGATGTTTTATATAGATTTTCACAGCGACTTCATTACGTAAATTGAAAATAAATATTCCTAATATTTGTTTACGTCAACCGTTGCCATCTAGTATGGCAAGCAATCAATATCATATGCTAATTATATGTGCGATGTTATAGAATGTTACCATGACAGTGGAAAAAAAAATGAGCAAGCTTTTTTTTCTGAAAGACATATAGATAGAACGTAAATGGCTTGTGCCAACTACAAGTGGAATATTTCAATAAGAAAAAAAAATAATTATGCGGATACCTTAAGGCAACTCTTATTTCCAATAACATTCACTCGTATCGCCATTAATCAATTTCTTTATTTTTATTCGTTACTACTATTCAGTGACTCATATATGTATGGGTTGTGGTTATGAATTTTTGTGATAGCCCTATCTTCCATTCTTTTTCAATTCTCTTGTCAAACGTTCCAATTGTTATATGGGAAGACAGTGGTAGTGATTTTTGAAATTGCCAGTATTAGCTTCGATTCCGTATTTAATTATACATGTAATGAATGATCGAACGAATTGTTATGTTTGAAGTAGGTTAGTTTTACACGTGAAGCATGACCTTGTATACTGCTTTATCTTGTGCTTTCCAGACCACCGAGGAGATACTAGTAAAAAGAAGCAGCTTTGTGGGATTTTGTGTCTGGCGGCTAATAGGGCACAGTGGGTACAGAAAATGGGCTGGAATCAGCACAAAAGTTTCGGAAGGGTTTGAAATTTTATACAGTTCGCTTCAGACACAAAATACACAGGGTTGACCCTGTTTACTCAATATTTACTCGGTGTTACTGCTTGGACCACTTATACCATATTAGTAACAAGTGTGACTGCTGGTAATTATAACAATTAACAATATGAAGTTGGCCTTGTAAGTATGAATTAACTAGGTAAATGTTAATTACGCTGCTGAATCAGATTGCATTAAATATTACGTTAAGAATAGGATTGACATTGGGTAATAAAGAAATAAAAAGAATAAAACTAATAAGTTTCCAATAAAATCTTACGGTTTTGAATCTTATTCGTATAATCAGATGTGTGAAAGAAACAAACTGTTAGAGTTCAAATATCGTTAGTTCAAAGAATCTTAGGGTTCAATGCCAAACTATTTTTATAAAAACCTGTCGAGCAAGTTATCAAACGCAATCGTGACGTGAAATGAAGGAAAAATTAAGTATCAATCCACTTGTTGAGTATGAAATTCATAAAATTTGACAGTGCATTGTGCATGTGTGTTCAAGTGAAACGCACTATATAAGGAGTATACTAAAAAGTATAGCGTATTACAGATCTGTACCTACTTTCGGATTGGGCGGACGTTCACCTCAAATTTAGCTAAAGGGTATGATAATGTGCACAGTGAAGTTGGCTACGAATAAGACAGTGAGGTTTAGATGAACGTATTCAAGCAGTAGCTTACGATATCGTTTTTTAAAGAATTTAGAATAATTTAATGAAACAGGAAGTTTTCATGGCCGCGACATAAAACCGTTCATAGAATAATTTAACTGAATGTCATTTAGAAAATCGCATAATATTCTTGTACCGTAATAAACACGCTTGGTGTTGCGTAACAGGGCGAAACGAGCGTTAATACTAAAACGGACTGTAAAACAGCGCAAAAGAAAAAAGACTCCAACAAATAGGCATATATATATATAAATGAAAGTAGTCGTTGCATGGAAATATCTAATAACGATAAAAGTACAGATTACATTTTTTTTTATTATATACAAACGTTTCAAATTTCTATGACGCGTCATGATTAATTAAACATTAAACAGGTTCTTTTACTGACTCATCGAAATATCCGGTTGGTAACGATTTTAATGAAATCATTATTCGTCATTAAAAGAGTTCATTGGTCAGTGAGAATCTTTAGCGTTTTAAGGTTGAGCGAAAATATAGTAAGAAAGAAAAGCAATAATGATTCTAATTAGGGAGAGAGGTCAGTCATATAAAAAAAAGTGTAACAAACTTCCTGGCCAGTGTTAAGCCAGTTGATCAAGGTTGCGCTGCTGAATCACGATGTGAATTAGCCATGCTAATCGTAAACTGTTGGAAATTTGGCATTGGTCGACCTTGGAATATTTTTCTATTACTCGTGTTCTGTAGGAGTCATTCACCCACAAGCTGCCATAGTCAGTTCGTTGAAAACCGGAGATCTGGACGTTTGATAGTCTATAACGATTTTCATGCTTCAATTTTGAATTCAAATTTTACGTGTCTTGTATAATAATACGAGACTCTGTAATAATTTCTTAATTTTAGTCTATCTATGTTCTGTATAAAAGATCCATATATCTTGTAGCAATATACATATATATATAATTATATATATTAAGCGCATATAGATACTTTCACGTTTTACGTTCGCATGGTTAGACAGTCGTTATGGCATTGGCCATTCTAAAAAACGATAAGAGAAGATCAAAATGATTCGCTTTTTACGAAATGATTGGCTAATCGTTACGGTTTAGAAATTGTCCGATAATTAAAATCAGGTCGAATTTGATGTTTTTCGCTGCTTTGAAATTCATGGATAATCATTGCGTCTCGATCTTTCCGGTAGATGACTCCGGGGACACTCTCTATAGGTCCGTTAATCATTTCCGTATCCGTCGAGGATTGCGCAACCTGGGGATCTGTTAGCAAGAAGCTTGTTCACTTTGAGGACAGTTAATTATTGTTAGACAGCGAGGAATTACATGTTAGAAATAGTCTCGCCGATATGACCTCAGTGTAGAATGGCGCGAAATTCAAAGTGATAATAAAAGGTTAATCATATAAATTTTTATTTCTTTCTTATTGAACCAAGAGAATATACGTTCTGAAAATTATTATAATAATTAATTATTTGGTTTGAATAAAAATCAGGACGGTCCTTTTTCCGGCTTTCACTGCTCTGACTAAAGTTCTACGGTACCGATACCTTTCGTTACGGCCGTCACTATTGTCCGTTACGTAAGAGGCGTGATCTGGTATTTTTGTGTTAAAGATTTTTTTTTCTTTTTTTTTTACACCTTTTTCCGTTTAAAACGAGCGTATTCAGTTGACTCGTATTCGCCTTCCATACGCACTTGTGTCGTTGAAAAATAAATGGTACAGCGATCGATTTGAATGAGAATATCACTCATTTTTTTTTAACTTTTATTTAAGAAAATTTCACAGCCGTATAATCAACAAGTCATTTTTTTCATATAACCGATTTCTCCTCGTACGCGAATTCCACTAGACTGAATTATCGTATGTATAAATTTCTAAAACTCCTTATTGCTGCAATTACCCAGTGACACTCATAAAATGACGCAAATATATTATAGTTGATGTAATCAAGTTTTAGTAACAACCTTACCTGTGATTTTCGAAAAATCTAGAATAATTAAATTAATTTTAATTTACAGTAATTAATTATTATATTTATGTATGCAATGATATTCCATTCGCTATTGTACATTGTTATGCCTGTATGTTTTTATTGGTTTGTCCAGTCGAGTGAAATGATAATAATAAAAATGCCTGTCCTACAATAATACAAGCATGGCGAGAGCGTTGTATAACAGCGAATTTAGTTTTAGCTAGTCGACATTCACTATTGTTACATAAAATCAGTAGACCCAAACGGACGCCTTTCTTCGCGGAATTCATTTGCCTTTTCTTCAATCGAATTTAACTACAACCTGAATTAACGTAAAACCGCAGACTCTCCAAGAGACATTAATTTTATTGTTTTACAAGGCAATACTTTGAGGAAAATTTTTGTCATGAATTGTACAGTGCTCTAGCTATACGTATAGGAGAGTATAGAGAAAAAGAGACGATAAGATTTTTATGTCAAATCGATAGACAATTAAAATTATTTGACGTTTATCGATTATTATATTTTCATATGTCACTGTGTCTTACGTTGATGCAAATTTAATTCATACAGTAATATTACTTTATGCATTTCATTACGCTACGGTCAGACGATCCTCAAAAAAATGCCCTAACCTCAATTCCGTAACTTTGATTAATTATTTCGCAGTGACGCATTAAAATCTTTTCACGTTTCGTCACGCTGTATTATGCAATTAATCTAAACGTCATAGTGATTAGAAAAGTTTTACTATTAGCTGCCTTTACTAACCCTCCAGTAGTGGCCTTTTTATCCCCTTGCCATAAGACATGTACGCCTATTGGGTCTGTCAGACCACGTTTCACCACTGGGAGGTTAATATTGCATCTGGAGTTAATTTGAAATTTTTAATTTTTTAAAAAATTCTTTTTTCTTACAGTGGATCATGATTCCCTTAAAGGAGGAGAGTCTGATGTTTTATTCAAAAAATGACAATTTCACAACGATAGCATGGCTGTACCTGTACACGCAATTTATAGTGGGAGCTGTCATATCAGGATTTTTGGCATTTCTCGCTGTTTTAAAATCCATATTACCAAAACCACCGAGAGATCTAACAGGAGACATAGCATTGGTAAGATAAGTAATCGAGAAAAAAAAATTGACAAGTTTGACTAATTTGCACATTTTTATTATTGACAGATAACAGGTGCTACTACGCTTCTGGGCAGTTCGTTGGCTAAGGAATTTTCGAGAGCTGGCTGCTCCGTTGTTTGTATCGATAAGGATCTGAAGTCTGTGAAAAGGACTGTATCTTGTCTGGAAAATTGTTCAAGGGTGGAGAGAATTGGTTCGGTGCATCGTAAACGTCAGGATTCTGAACGTATGCAAAAGTCATTTGCGTACGAGTGCGACTTTAATGATAGAGATGAGATTCGTGGAATTGCCAAAAAAATTAATGACGAAGTCGGGCAGGTTGATATTCTTGTTACCTGTTTTGGGAGTCAGGATGAGGATATACTGGATACTGTTAGTAATACATTGATGAGTCATTATTGGGTAGGAGTCTGAGATTTTAAAATATTTATAATTAATTTTTATCTCGCATCTTAGTTTATGTGATTAATTAACTTTTATTAGACGGTGCTGGCATTTTTACCTTTCCTATTGCTGCGTCGAAAAGCGCATGTTATTGGAGTGACGCCTACGATCTCTGTGCAAGATGCTTACATGGGTTCCAGAGCGGCTGTTACTGGTTAGAGAAATCTTATATTACACGTAATAAATGATAATTCAATATGCACTAATGATGAAAGTAATTTTGTTCCAGGTCTCATGGAAAGTTTAGGTCAAGAATTCGCGAGGCAAAGGAGTCAGTTGAAATTTATCACTGTAGCTCCCAAAGCTGAGCCCAGGTAGGTTTGTCGGGTATTGAAAATGAAAAAATTGTTAAATAATATTTTTAATGATAACGATAATGATAATGTTTGATCGACAGGTTATTAAAGAAAACCGAGTACGAGATTGCTAGAAACGTGGTGGAGGCAGTTCGCACGGATCAAAGTAGTCTCAGTGTGAACTGGTGTTCTAGAATGTTGTATCGTATAAGGTAAAATTTTTTTTTTTAATTAAAAAAATCACAGCTATCGGGTGTGTCGATAATTTAATTGATTAATGACTTTTTTTATAGCTGCGTTATATATAGAGCGATAAACATCATCACGCAGTGATTGTATACTCAAGGATGCGATTATTCTCATTAGCGAATAATTTCAATATGCGAAAATTTTAGTTCAAAGCAAAATCTTTATGAGCAACGAAAGTTCGGTTATCTGTTATTAATATTAATCGTGAACGTACGAATTAATTAGGGGAAATGAGACGTAGAACGTAAGCATGTTAATTTAATAAAAATAGTCATAGCAAGATCCAAAGAAGCATTACGGAAGTATTTAACTGGACGTCTTTTGCTTTAAAATTATTTTTCAAAAGGGTCATATATACTTGTTGATTAGTTCATTATGATAGGTTTGTTCAATGTATTTGGCTCAATTGGTTACTGACTCTGTGAATACTGTATATACGATATGGACAAGTGTTTTGTTTAAACAAAAGGAATTTTAAATTCTTTGTATAATCAAACAACAAATCAATTGGAATATTCATGTAGTAAACGTGAAATGAATAAAAAACATTGATTTGATAAAATCATGAATATTTGATTTAAAATACACAGTGTACATATAGTTCATAATACAAAAAAAAATACGTTTTTAATAATCCATTAATAAAACGTCATAGTGACCACTGTCAGATCGTCCACTAAATAATAATCTAGCCGTTCGATAATCATCGTGAACAGAATTATGAAAGACCCTCTTAATTTCATGTTTTCCATGAACAACCCGATAAATTGAAAGATTCATGTGATGCAGTCTGGTAGCAACAATGCATTCTAGCTCACTGGCATAAATTCCATCAGAGTTCATAAATTCAAAATATTCATGAGGATTCGAAATATTCCATTCTGCCACCACAAATGGTCCATACTCTTGCCAATTTTCTCTGACATGCCGAACGACCTGAACAATACAAATTTTGCATTTTTTTCTTTTCATTAATTACAATTTAATTGACGTAATATAAACATACCATATCACGCAATGATTTATGCTCCTCTTCGTTACCCCACAATATATAACTTATGGCACGAAACATGCAATTCCCATCGCCGTAAATTTTTCGCACGCGAAACGCGCCCTCGGTACAAGTTAACAAAGCCGTACCTATGTAAGTATCTAGTAATTATATGGGGTCTCAAAGGGAAGTCAGAGGATAACTTATTTAATGTAGTACAGGCATACCAATACGACGTACTGTATAATCAGTATTGTTCAACGTTACCTCGAACGCGGTGGCTGCTCTTGATGGGTTTTCTATAGTTTTTTTGCCTCTTGCAAACGGAGTTCGTCTTCTTTGTCTTTCCAGACGAGTCATACGACGAGGTGGATATGGAAATATTCCTGCTGTCTCCTCTGTCCAGGAAAAATTTCGTCGATTCCGTTTTGTATATATTTTCATTGTTGCTATCAAGCTCTTCTATAAATATTATCACGTGACAATTTTAAGATTTGTAAGTAACGAGAAATAATTCTTACTGGACGATGGTTGTCTGTTGAGTAACGTTGATTTATCTTCCTCGAAAATATCAGTGCATAAAAACGAACACCACAGACAAGAGGAGCAAAATATTCGAAACAATCTTAATGAAAGTTTCCCGATATCATCCAGCTTCGTTGTTCCTCATCGCCGGCTCATTGCTTTTTTTACAAGTTGTGAAAAATTATAAAGGAAACATGGTTTCAAGCTACTAAAAATTTTTTAAATGACATTTCGATCGTACCTTAATAATGTCGATATTCCATTATTTTACCGCTTCTTCTATCGACAAACTTCACGTTAGTAGTATAATTAAGATTTAGAGAAAATATTAATTATTCACTTTTATAGAACACTAAAAGTAATTTAGTTCTTTTTTTACGGCTTTGCATTAGTTTGTAATGACATTTTTTAATGGAGAGATAGAGAGAGAGAGAGAGGTTATTGCACGTACAATATAAATATACATAGGACGTAAACCCCTAATATCAGAAACCAGGTAGTCGACCGCGTATCACGTGATGCCGTCTTTCAGGCGTCGTCTTTTAACCCTAGGGACTTTTATTCAAGCGCGTAGGCGCTGTTGCCAAACCTGAACCATTGTAAAAGAGCATCGGGAGGCAGCAGGTTGTTTCCACGGAGTGGCAAAGTGGTTGGCCCGTTGCTTGGCTACGAAAGCAAACGGACATGCCTGCCGCTCAGTCACCCACGAGAAGGGAAGAAACAAGTGTTGAAAATGGCGACGCATCCAGACGAGCCATAGTGATGCAGTGGTCGCATAGTGAAATTGTCTGTTCCGATCGTGAAAAGTGATCACGGGGATCCCTACAATCATCAACAGGGCCAAATGACATGGGAATTTGCAGCAGGAGACATTTTCTACTGACAATATGCACTCTACAGCTTGTGAGTCTTACGATGAATTTTATCATGGCCATAATAAACGCTTCACTTTACGCAGCTTTCATAATAAGTATCATATATGAATGTGCACTGAATCACGCTGTATTAACATATTTAGATGTTACGTCTAGACTCTCTTATGCTGTCCCTGACATTCCACTGTTTTCCATGATATATTCATGCAACGTGAATTCTGCCAAGCGAGGAAAATACAAAAGGCGCAACAATCGCAGTGGGAAAACTTGAAAAATAGTAAAAGCTACCTTATCGTTGATATCAGATAACGATACAATAGACTGTGCCTTGATGAATTATGGTTTATCATGTTCGATGCTCCCTTTTTCCTGAAGTAGCGTCTAATGAAATCGTAACTCGTTATTACGATCAGCCTAGAAGATATAGTTTTCTTTTTGTGTTTTTCCCTTTTACTCGTGATGCGTACATTGAACTGTGAGAAATAAATGAGTGCATTTACCCTAGCACGAGAATACATTGTTTGCGCAATGCGTTGAATTGAATTTTTTCGAAATTCGATTTTACCATGTTACGTATACCTCACTGTCTTTTGACACAACTTTCAACTGAGTTCATGATGTGTCATTACGTAAATATAATATTGTATTTGTAATGTATATATTTAGAATATGATTCTTTAAAATGAATGTCGAATTATCGCTTTGTGATCGGCACGATTTTGATTACATATATAAATTTCATTATGCATAATCAGTACATAATTTTATTATCCTTAATATATCGTATAGTTGAATTACAAATTATGAAAATTATAAAATTCTTGGTTAATGAAAATCGCTCGTGGAATACAGCATGAGTTTGCTGATATTTTGTCCTGATTAATAAATCATCATGAGTCATTAAGCGCGTAAGATTGTATAACTTTAATTCTTCACTATTTCAAATGCAAATTCCTTATTGTTTCTGTGCATGATAGACCTCTTCCTGCACTTTTAATACAGGCAATTATTTCATGGCAGTCTGTGCGACTTGTCCCATCTTGGAATGATAATTAAACGAGTATTTAGAACGCGGAGCAATTGGTGCAAATTAAAAGGGTCCAGGAAAAAAAAAGAAGGGCAGTTAAGAAAATCATGATGACAGCATTGTATCATGCTAAAGTACCATAATTGTAATTTACATTGGCATGTTTAGTGTGAGTTGAATTAACTCTTTATTTACTTAGATCACCACCATAGAGCGCCAAGTGTTCGACTTCCTGGGGTTTATGTGGGCGCCGATACTGGTCAACTTTTTCAACATCATCTTCGTGATCCTTGGATTTTTCGGAGCCTTTCAGTACAGGCCTAAATATATCATTTCGGTACGTATATATTATGTTTATATATTTATTTTTATAATTGCATCCGTGCGCATGCGCCTCCTTGAAATATATTCATGTGCTCACCAAGTTTTGACAAATAGGAAAATTCTTATCGTCCTACATACGTACAATATTTGTGGAATATTATTTTATATCATGTAACAATAATATAATTGTAATTTTTGCAGTACTGCGTATGGAATACATTATGGCTAGGCTGGAACATATTCATCGTATGTTTCTACCTCAGCGTGGGAATCCTGGATAAGGTATACAGACGAACATAATTTACTGTGGAAAACAACAAATATTAGGAGAAAAACATAACCCGCTAGCGGACGCATCATTTCTAGCGTCTCGCTCTCACTGCTGCGTCCTTTTATAGGTTAAGTCGTGTCGCATGAGAGATATCCTCATAGCCCGCCTGTGAGTGGGTTAATCTGACTTGCATGATATTTTTAAAACGTACTGGCACTTGTGTCAGATATAAAAAAGTACTTAAACCTTGTGCATCCTTATCGCGTTCATTAAATTCTTAATGGACCTGGATTTATATTTGGTACGGAGCAGTTGACCCGCTTTGGTGTCTATTTTCTGCTTAGGTCAATTTCATGAGACATTTGAATTTCGTTGGTCGACAAGTATTTATATTCGTACAGACGAAAACAGTCCAGTATCTATTTCTCGTTTGCAGAATAGCGACATTTTAAATCTTGGCACTGGCAGTTTCTCTTGGTGGCAAATCAATGGACCAGGGTGCAAAGCTGTTTACAATGTCACTGATCAAGAATTATTTAGACCAGCCAGGCCTACCAACGTGACGGATTGTGTCTTGGAATATGAAGTTATTGAGGTTCTGCACGCGGCAACGCAATGCCTTCTAGCGGTAAGCATAAAATATTTCATTTTAAGCAGTTAAGTAGTTTTTATCTTTCCATATAAGCAGTGGTTTATGTAAATTTTATTTTAAGAAACCTGTGATAAGCACTACAATGATAACTGAAGCAAAATATACAAGTGTGGGTATTGTCCTAGCATTGATTAAAGACTTCCCCTTTGTCAATGTTACTTTATTGACCTCACAGAGTCTCTAGGATGATCCCATCATTGTTAAGCATAGTCATGACTCATAGATCACTGTGGCTCTTTGAACAGATCGAACTTTTAATTGAGTTCATAGCACTTCTACTGAGTTATATTTTTCAGTTCATGGCCGTCGTGGGTGGAATCTGTCTGAGTCGTGTGTTCCTAGAAGAAGATGACAGTTGTGAGTATATGCGATTACTGTTACTGAATTCTGGTTAGATAGAGATTGTTCGGATTCGATACGAAATCAATATCGTATCAAGTAAATCCATGGTCGTAGAGCTTGTGTAACGTGTGACCATGAAATTTGAGATCGTATTCAGTTGCACCAGCAGAACAACTTTTGTGGTAGTTTTCTTCGACGAGACTTAACGCATTCCACTATGCACTGAGTTCATGATAAACGCAGAGTTTGGGAATTATTGTAACTTTCTGGATTAAAATCTTTTTTCAAAATTCTACATCAAGGTAAAATTCACGTATACAGATGTCGAATAACGGGATATATTGAATGACACATTCGAGGGTGGCAGTTAAAAGTTTTCATGAAAAATAGGCTATAAGCACTCCTGAATGGAGAATATTTTTATCAACACACTCAGTCATATTTAAAAAAAAATATTTTATTTGTAATTATAAGTAGGTATTTTTTTCTGGGTCTTTGGATAATCATTGCGTCTTCTCATGCTTTTGGAGTATCAATTCACTTGCCCATCCTATTCATCTATTCGTGGTACTCCATAACTCTTCTGGGAAGGTACTTTCAGTTTTGGGTCGCTCTCCTTCCTCTAACTACTGACTTATCGAGCTTGAACGGTTGTGGGTTGATTTACTGCGTATTTTAATGATTCACAAAAAATTTAATAAAATTGTGAACAGTATATCAACGTGGTACTAATTTCGATGAAATTCCTCGTGGAGGAAATTGCGGTTGGAGTTTGTATGATAGGATGTGACCGGATAGATATTTTTTTTTATAAGGATATTTTGTTCCTTCGCAACTCGTGTACTTCTGAAATTGTTATAAGATACGTTAAACAAAAATGACAACAATTAATCGTATAATGGGAAAATGCGTGTACAAAGTAGTATCGCCTAAAAGGACAATAATATTAAAAAAAAAAAAGGAATCCATAAAAAAAAAGAATATTCCGTAAGACAGAAAGCTTACGGTAGTGATGGGTATAATTCCCTTAAGACCCAAAGAAATAAATCCATAAGATATTTTCTTCTCACGTACAAAATATAAAATTAAAATAAAAAATCCATATTAGACACCCATCAATAACGTGAGCAACCTGTATCCATGATTTTCACTTCCACATGAAAAAGAGGATTGTCGGTTACAGTTGATTTCATTGGTGGATTTGATCCTCCATTTTGGTAAGTCGTCCCATATCATCTGCACGTTCATTTCCGCCATAGATTATCGGCATGCAAGAATGTCCAGTGTATACAATGCATAGTGGAAAGTAGAGAAAATTTGTCTATATACGATTCCAGCACGTATATATTTTTGTGCCCAATTATAATCCTCATTATTATTATTTAATTATAAAAAAAAAGAGAATCAATTTCAATATTTTCAATTAATAGATTTTAAGAGACGCCTCAAATACGTCCAATGTAATATTCTAACGCAATGGGCTCTTCTGGGTGACTTTTCAGTTGACTTTGTCGGAGGCGGCGACTTTGGGCTGGCAGGCCACACGCCGTTGCATCCCATGTACGTTAGCTACTCGGCACTTCCGCCACCTGCCTATCCTCAAAAAAATTCCCATCACAGTTACCCGACAGGCACAGCTAGCTCGCACCAATCCGTTTATCGCGAGACGACTATGCCGAAACACGTGGAAAAGCCGTACGGCAACAGCACGTCACGCAGTAACAATAAGAGCAGTGTAAGGAACGAGACGATAAGGAGTGACAGGAGTAACGCGTCGACAAGGAACATTGAAAATGCAAAATTGAACGTCGATTATAGCAACGACTATTCGAATCCTCTTGATCAGTTACAAAGATCCATATCGCCCTACGAGGAGTACGACTCCCTGGACAGTGTAGCGCGTCTACGATATCAGAAGAACAAACTTTACTACCCTCACTCGTCCAAGTACAGTCCGGTTGTTTCGCCAAAATTAAGAACAGCACGCGCCGTCAATAACAAGCAGAACCGAAATTCCTCCTATAAGCCGCGAGTATTCACGGATCACGTAAGGGAGCAGCCACTCAGGTCATTCTATTCAGATCCTAGACTGGCGGTTGAGCAGCAGCAGCAGCAGGCTTGTTCCAGCAGCCGCGACGATACAGCCAATTCTAAGAGAGATAGTAGACCTTTGTCTCTGTACGCCAACTGATACCGGTACCATTTAGTGCTGTTTTTCACTGGGTCAAAATGACCGTTCACGAAGGTGCAGATAATCGTTGACGGTGAAGCAGTTTCTTGTCGTCACTTTTTAAAAAAGCTTTAAAGCAGTATTCTCAGAATCAGGGAACGACGCAGAGGCGAAAAAGTTATATTTCTATATGGATATCTTTTTCTTATCCATTTCACGAAGCTCTTCGTTACGCGGTAACGATACTTTTCTATCCGCAAATTTATATACGCGAGGATCGTACTGCCTCTTTGGACGTTCCAGATTGTTTTTTCCTTTCCTACACTTGCCAAATAGGTAGAATACGTCGGGTAGCTAGCTTAGGTGCCTCTTCCTATTTTATAACCATTCACCATACGCCTGATTCACGAATTAATATCTTTTTTTTTCTTATCTATTACACGCATACATCACACCGCCATATGTGTATCTGATATATTATTTTTCGCGTGTTGTTCTTTGGAAAAGTTATTGTTTCCTTATTCTTTTATTTGTTTTGCACTAATCGACTTACGATACATACACTGTGATACGTAGAAAAGAGATAAACCGTATAGAGCTGTGCCAAAGGCTTTTCATTTATTCATTAATGGCTGATCGTTTGATTCGTTTATTGAATTATGCACAAAGTAGAAAATTCGATTTTGAACGTCGCACGGTGATTGTGGAATAAAAAAAAAATTAATTTTTAAGACACGCCTTTGGGCGAATATCTCTTTTACCTCGTTGTACTTTAATGATACTTGGTGATTGTTTGTCTCTTAATGAAGTTTCGTTACTTCGTTAACGAGAACTGTTTGGGATTTTCAATGCATCTCTGCGTTTATATTTATAACTGGAACGATGCATTCAGCTAGACGTATTTTTTTTTTTTTTTTTTTTTT